AAATCCTAACCCTAGACCTTCACTGTGTAACCCTAAAGCCGTAGCCAAGCTCGCCCGAGCTTGTCATGGCCGGAGATGGCCGGAGCGCCGTTGTGCAACACCGCCATCCACCATGGTCGCCATCGAGCTAGCTCTGGCGAGCCCCTTGGCCGACCAACCCCTCCAGTAGATGCGCACGGAGGTGGAGAGCACAATGCTAGTGACCGTGTCGCCGGAGACCTCGCCGTCGGCGAGCTCTTTGCCGGTCAAAAGCCGCCCCTATTCTGTGTGTCTGATGTGTGGGGCCGTGCTGACCGTGGGACCTAGTTGTCAGCGTCTATGGGTGCAGTACACCGGGTGTACTTAGCAGGAGCTCTGGGTTTTGATGTTTTTCTTTATTTGTTTTTCCAAAAATTGTGCTGAACTTGTAAAATTCATAACTAATTCTAGGAGTATCCAAATGGAGTGAACCAAATTTTGTTAGCTTGATCTTGATGAGTACTATCTGTTAAAAATATGAAACTTGGTATGTGCTACAGTTTGGTACCTTGTTTAAATTATCTTATTTATTCCCTATTAATCTTGAAAAATCCATAACTTGAGTTTGGGAGATGCTAAAAATGTGATTTTAATTTTGTTGGTCATGTTTTGACATGCTGTAGCTAGGAAAAATATTAAATCTACAGTAATCATGCTTGGAATAGGACTTCTTGTTTTAGCTTGATTAAATGCTAGTTTCTTATGGAATTAATTGTGGTAGATTTATGTAACATATGAGCATGAATTAATTTTCACAGCATTCTTGTGTTATGAGGAATGTAAAAAAATAGTAAATCTGTTGCTTGACATTTTTCACCATGCTAAACATATTTAAATTGCTATAAACCATGTAACTTGTCATTTTTGTAGAGGTTGTTGTACTTGTCCAAATGGCATGAAATTTAACAGTAGTCTCTTGAGAGCATGTATGAGTTGTTGTATTTTTTCCCGAATTTATTGAGCATTGTAGGTAGCAGTTCTAATTTTTACCTTGTTTATGAAATAAATTAATAAAAGCATATAATTAGTTGGTTTGGGCTTAACCATTATACTTTTCAACATATTGGGATGTATATAACCTGTTGGTACAGTTGGTTGTGCCCAGTTTTGATTGATTGTATGCAGTTAGCTATTTATTGCTCTATAATTCACTTGCATCTGGTTTCTTGACTTGTTTGCTTTGTGTGAGCTTGATGCTTGTTGATTTGATGCTTAGGCTAATTAAGATAAGTTGTTAGCTGCGGGTTTTAGGCCTCTTACTGATGATGAACAACTTTATCTTAGGTTGCTAGAACATGGTAAGTGTATGTTTGCTTTGCTAGAGAAGAGATATGCATCTACTTAGTAAAATAAAATCAATCTTGTCATCACCTTGCCATCTTGTTGTTAAGAATGAGTATATATATGCATGCATTGCACCCTATCATTCATGTCATCCCTTGTGCATTCTCTGTATTTATCTATATCTTCGTGCATATAGGATCGCCGGAAGGGATAACACTTTTAGAGTTCGAGGCCGTGGGAGAGGAGGATCAGTACGAGACCCAGCAGCAGGAAGTTCCAGAAGGCGAAGGACAGGTCTAGGAAGAACGGCCTGAGTGCCCGGACCATAAACCCTCGGCCTATCTGAAAGGCAAGCCCCGGAACACTCTAAGTCTCCTATGTTTTATAAATGCCAACTTGAGTTTCTTATGTTTGATGCATTAGGTTGTAGGAGTTGATTGAAAACACTTGATACATATGATCTCCTTGTCTAGAAATATATCTTGAAAGCCTATGTAGGTTCAGGATCGAATAAATGCTTAGTCATGCTTAGTTCGGTAGAAGTCGGGTGATTTCCTGTCACCAGCGAGCTATAGGTGGAAACATAGTCATTATTGGCTATATTTGCTATCGTAGAAAAGAACCATGTAATGATGTAATTAGAGGACGAACGGAGTCTATGTTGTAGGTTGACTCATGTGATTCCGTCTGTACCGCTTAAGAACCGCATCGTTGTTGGTCCTCGGTCATTTTGAACACAACCTCTCACTTAGATGGCCGGATAACTCGTTCCGACCGCGAAGCTGAGTAACTCAACTCAGGTCGGGCCTCGTTCTATATGAGTGCGCACACTAGAGGTAGTAAGGATGTGCGGGGAGCCGGATATGAGTCTAAGAGCAGGCCGGGCCTGATCGTCCTGGTAGCCAGTCAGTTCCTGAGTGTGCAACGCTGATCGAACCCACGATATACGACCTGAGTTATACCAAAGGTGACCTAAGACTACCTTGACGCAGGTATGTCTAGGTTTGTGTTAGGATTTCTGCCCAGCTGGTTGCAATCGATTCGAATCGTCGTCTCTCCCGTATAGTGAGAAACTTGACTGAGCTTCCTTCTATCGTAGTAAGTTGATGAAAATGAAATGGTTATGATTATGATACAATAAATGGCTATGGTTAATAATGTGATGCTACATATTTATATACAACATGTTTGGCACAGGATAGTTGCTAATCTAGAGTGAATAGTTATAATTAACTTGATGACTGAATTATAAAAAATGTGTAGCTCAACTAGTGGGTTTTTATGCAAAATATTGTCTAGCTCCACTTATAAAGCCTTACATAATTCTTGGTGTCACTTTATTTTTGGTTTATGACGGGTAAGTCTAGCTGAGTATATTCTCGTATTCAGGGTCTATTTCCACTTGTTGCAGATAGTAATGTATATCATGGTTATTGCAAGAACTGCTTCTCTCTAGCTGTGGAGGAGTGAGGCCACGGGCATGGCCCTTCTGTGTGTCTTACCTATGATGCTTTTGTCGGACTTGATCATGAACTGGCATGTATTTGAACCGTGTGTGTGATGATGATTTCAAAACTATGTTGCTTCCGCTACTAAATTTGAACTTCGTGTTGTAATAATTATATTTGAACTCCGATGTATGTTGAACTACTTGTGATCTTTATGTAACATATGGCATGTATGTTGAATCATGTACGATCTTGGTTTGTATGTTGGTTATGAATCGAGGTACTTTGCGACACTCGACAGACTACCGGTTTATATGGGCTCAAGTATGACAGTGTGACCGTCTCGGTGGTTGTCATTGTACTTATGCTCTTATAAATTGGTTGGTTCTGTGAGAGCAAATGAGGTTGATGAGGCCGAGGCATGGTTGTATAGATGAGGTCAAGAGACTGTTCAATGACATCGCCTTGCCAAGGCACGGTCCGCCCAACGTTGGGAGAAGGCCGGGAGGAAGATAGGAGTTGGGACAAGTCTGAGCGGCCTAGAGACAGTATCTTAGGGCCCGTTTGTTTCGATGGTTCTACCCAGCTTGACCGACTAGTCAGGCTCTGGCCAACTCGAGCACGGCTCCCATGGTACAACCTTAAGTGTTTGTTTGACTTGTCCAGACAAGCTAGGATGAGCAGTGATCGTGTTTGTTTGTCCGTGCAAACAGATATGGCTACCTTGCACCAGGAATCTGGTATGGTTACCACCAAATCTTCTCCTTTCTCTCCTCACTGTAAATTCATCGAGCGCTCGGCGGGTGAAGCGGCGGCGGTCGAGGCAGCGACGGTCCGGCGCGGCGGCATCCCACGTGCGTGCTCCGGCTCGCTCGGCGGGTCTCGCCGCCACCTCCTCCTTCCCCGAGCAACGACTGCATCACCCAATCCGAGCCCGGACGACCGTCGAATCACGCCGCCGCCGCCGAGGCGGGGCCGGACTTGGAGCAACAGGGGGGAGGAGAGCGCGGTGGAGAGGAGCACGGCACGTCGAAACAACGCGAGTATTTCGTCTCGTCGACGTTCGGGATGTGGCCGGGAGTAGCGCCGCCAAGCTTGGCCGTGAACGGAGAAGACGAACCATGGCCGCTTCGTTGCGATGGGGAGAAGACGAGGAGCGGAAGTTGAGGAGACGGAGGTAACCACACCGGTCCACGGGAGCGCTCGAACGCGCCGGGCTGTGAAAAACAAATCTAATTTCGTTTCTCTGGGCCTGGCCCATGCTGCTTTAAATCCCGTGCGGGACAGACATTGAGACTGGGCCAGGCAAACAAATAGGCCTGGTTGCCCGGTTTGGGCCTGGCTGGACCCTCCGGCCAGGGAAACAAACAACCCCTTTGGAGAAATTATACCATCATGGACAATTCTATCCAATCTATGTCCCCACTTCCTCGAACCATCAACCCCATCCCCAGCCATAGCCAAACACCCCGATTCTCGCTGAAACCAAGGGGACACCTGTGCCTGTCACGAAGTAGCCACTAGCCAGGACCTATACCTTCCGCCCCTTGAACTACCAGAACCCTAACAATCAGCATGTGCCAATACGCAACACAAGGTGGATGAACTCGCCAGTTTCTTTCCTTTTTTACATAACCAATGGAAATATTTGCAACTTGCAAGCTCTTAAAATACTATACCAAGACTGATTTAACATGACATGGCCATTAAATAGAGCATGCTGATGCAAAATTTCCAGACAGATGCAGACCGTTTCCAGTATAAAAAATGTGCAAAATCAAAAGGTGACATGAGAAGGCTTGATGATGATTTCTGGGAAGAGCCTCCACCGAGGCAATCGGAAACAAGCCGAATCTGCATCCTCTAAAGCCTCCAGGGTGCTGAAACTACAGCATAGCAAATCATAATGAGCATAGAGAATTTCTACATATAGAAAGAGAGAAAAGGAGAATTCCATGCTTATAGTATGCATGCTTGTAAATTTAAGCAGCTGTTTTTATTAGTTGACATATTTGTAAATCTGGCTAAAACTCATGAACAGTCAAGTGGAATGGAACGTGGCTGCCCAAAACTGCTACTAAACACATAATTCAGTACGTGAGTTATGAGTTTGCACTACTGTAAAGTATATACAAGTGGGTGGGCCAAAATTGATGTCTTACAAATGTAAACAATGATATATATATAGTCACCTACATTCTTGAATATTACATTTTGGATGACATCTTCACCACCACAGGCATAGAAGATCTAGTTTTTATTTTCTCGTAGCCACTCAACAAAATTGTCTAGAATCAGAGGCCAAGCAAGGTCTGAATCATAATTGTCAAGTGATGGGAAGTTTATCTGCATTAGAAAAGCAAATGCCAAGTGTCAATGACAGCATAAAGAAAATACTAAACATTGCAAAGAGGATTACAAGGTTGAGCTATTCTTTTAAATTTAAAACAAATGAAATGCTGCAACATAGGTATGTTTAAAACATGACCTCGTTACAGAACCGAATAAATCCCATCCACTGGTCCATGTTTATCACCTTGTAGTCATTTTGGTACTGAAACACAGTTCAAATATAGCATGTCAATTAAGCACCGCGTCTCAATGAAGAAAGGATGAGTAGAACCACAGAAAAAAAAGAGAGTAGAATCCATTACCTTTAGGTAATTATTAAGCTTGTCAACCTGAGGGCGGAACTGCAAGCCTAATACTAGATTCAGCAACTCACAAGCAACTGGTATTTCTATACACTTCTTCTTATCCTCTGTGGAAACATAATCATTATGAAAATTGACAGAAATAGCAGTCACTTTAATCACTTTGCTTTTTGGAGTTATAACTTAAAATAGGAACCAACAATACCCGTGAGGCAATAACGAAATGCATATATGTAGAAGTCCTGGAAATTGGATGGCCTTGTAACCTGGATTTATAAAAATATATGAAAGTGGTCAGCAAGGTTACACTTGAACAAAAAATTATCAACAGTTAATGATAGCTCATTGTCCATTACAATCACAAGGTGGCAATATCTTATGATATATCTGTTAGATGGAAGTTCTTGATTACAAAGTAATTTCTTCACTCCATAAATCAAATCTCTGACATGCATAGCTCACTTGAACATAAGATAATATTTGGGGAGACAGAATCACCTCTTGGACCAGTTCTGGAAATGCTTTCTTCAGTTTACTGATACTGTCGGCTCGAAGAGCTTTCAAGCCAGCTCTCCATTCATCCTAATAACATAAAAACATGTATTAGTCAACACTTGAAAGCATAGAACAATCCTTTACTATTAGAACTAAAACAAGTTCTTCAATGAATACTTGAATAGCAGTATGGAATGCATACCAAGGTAAAATAACCTTGCTTCTCACAGCCCATTTTCCTGTAAATAGGATAGGATTTGTTAGATATTTGTAAAATAAATAAACAAAATTGGAAATTTTAGAGAACAGATGACATACCATGCTAACATTAGAATCCTAACATCAGTGTGGGGAACTTCAAGGTGAGAACAGAGTGTTTCAATGCCTTCTGGGCTGTTCCAGTAGGAGAAAAATACGATCAGTATCGTTGCATTAGTATAATTGACATGCCTCTCCAAGCTCTGTAGTGCATGCAACTTTAAGGGCAGGCGGTTGCATGAAGTGAGCAATTGGGGTGGGGGGGAGGAGGTCAGACAGCATAGGACTTGAAAAAACAACATATCTAATTGCTTGCAAAAAGAAAACACAAGTACATCTTGTGATATGACATAGATGGCTATATAAATGAGCCTATATAAGACAACTACTATGTGCTGCTTTGGTAGACAACACCTCCAACTGGTTGGCATGATGGATCTGGATAAAGTTATCATATGAAAACAAAAATCACTACCAGCTAGAACTTCAAAGCCAATACCTGGGTACTGCCCTTAATTGGCAACTACTAACTCACCACAATGTGGTCCTTCCTACAGTAGCAATTATATTTAAAGCTTCTCTGTTGGGTTTACTTTATAATTGCGAACAAATATGCAAAATCTATCTTGATTTGACAAATTTGATGTCATGGTACAATAGCCAAAATCATTTCAAAGTTGCAGTAGTGTAAGCATTCATGTTCAGTTGGGAACGATATGGTTGCTACAAAATTGGAGCTATTAGCTAAGCTCATTAGTTAACAAGAAAAAGAGCCTGCTCATCACCCATATATGATAAAAAGGGGGATATTCATGAGAAGCAAACATAAAGTGGCAAAGCATTGAGAATCACTAGACAGAACTTACTCAATCATGCCAGATGAGTTATCGGCATAAGTATAGAAAAATTGATCAATCCGTTCTACTTCCTTGGAAACTGCTTTAGTAGGGCCTGGAAATAGTAGTGAAAATGTTCACAAACAGATAAATAGAAAGCGCAAATATAGATGCCAAATTAAGTTGATGGCAGTAATTAGATGTGTACATTAGATAATTCCAGTTTCTAGATGATAGCTCAGGAAAGAAACAGAAATTACAGAAAGAAAGTAACAGCTTGACATAAAGGAAATAACGGTCCAAAATTTCAAATATCATGAGGTCCCAGTCATCCATTGCAAACAATAAAACAAGGCAAATATTATTTTTCTGTCATGTGCACATTGTGTATTTGTGGGGTCAATTTGGCTAGAAGACACCATAGCACTCTGTAAAGGCTTAAGGTTAGCCTAAGAACATAACTTGGAAGTTGGAACACAACAATGAATCTGGCCATGTTTTGTAGCGAATCCATGCATGTAGAAATATAAGGGAATGCACACTCTTAGCACACTAAGACAGATAAGAACAAGCAATTTGACAATTAATTGAAGAAGAAAAGGAATCAGTGCAGCTCACCACGTTGTGCTTTCCTGCTGGTCAGGTTTGTACTGACTCCTTTTCTTTTTCTGTTTTGTTTTTCATTTACTTGTTCCGCACCTAAATATAATTGTTTGTTTAGTATTCATTCATATATTCATACCCTAAAACAGAGAACACAAGATCCCCTACTACTCCAGTGTATTTGAAGAACAGTATACTGCAATGGTAAATGTAGTAAAAATAAAATGAAAACTAAAACTAACCAAGCAAGATCAGCTGGTGGGTAGATTATTTGAAATTAATTAAAGAACTTATATTTACATGATTAGAACTTGATTAAAAGGGCGTACCCAGTGCAGAGAGCTCCCGCTCTGTGCGGGGTCTGGGGAAGGGTGTCAGTGCAAGCCTTACCCTCGCTTGTGCAATGCAAGGAGACCGCGACTCGAACCCGGGACCTTCCGGTAGAACTTGATTAAGCTTCTCAAATTCAAGGATTCATGGAGTGTAATTGAATATTAGAGAAAGTCACTGTGAAATCATGGGAGCTAATTAAATGCCCATGCACAATGAGAAAAAGCAAACTAGTCGATAGGGAGATGAGCCAGCATAAGGGGATCTGAGTTAAGTGAGAAAGCAGAAAAAGGAGCAAGTATAAGAGCACAATGTCGAGCTAGTGTTAACTGTGATCACATATAACTTAGGTTAATCTTAATTATGGAAAGAAAGCCATTCTCGTAGTTCTTTACCACCACACAAAACTACCGAGAGAAGTAGGAGTCAATCATGAAACTTAACTTCGTGCAGTTATTAACCTATCAATAGAAGGTTATATGGCCACCACAGTGATAGTAGCAACTAACAAATAGTTCCTTCATTTCCGGAAAAAAAAACATACAACTCACACCTAAAACCACAATCTAATGTTCTCATAGTCCAGAAATCACAAGAGATGCAGTAAATTGGGTCATTAGCGCAAGTTTTTGCTCTTTATCTTCACATACAAATAAATTCACATAGGTTGGCAAAGAATAATAGACCTGCAGATTGCAGCCTCCTTACAACGAAGACAAATCTGTTATCGTCAGATGAAGGAATCCACGGCGAATTCCACATCAAATTCAGGCCAAGATTCAAACACCCTTCTCTTACAACCACAACGCCAAATCGCCAAAAGAAAAACCGGAATCTACCTCCAAACCCTTCCAATCTCGAAAAGGACGATTCATAGCTCCCATATACCGAATTAGACAATCGAAAAATCGAACCATCGAGTGCGCTCCAGCGCGGCGCAGTCTCGAGATTGGATCTTCCAGAGGAAACAACACGCGCATCCAATCTGGGAAAACAGGAACCCATCCGCGCTGCCTGGGAACTAGCGAGCCGATCAAGGAACTAAGGGAAGGAGGGAGGGATCCAGGGGTGGGACGTTACCAGCGCTGGCGGTCGCGGCAGACGACGACGATTTCTTCGAGCCGCGCCTCATGGTGGCTGCAGGCTGGCTTGCTCCTGAACCCACCTTCTTCCACCTCTGATTCGGGACCACCTCAGGTTCTTCGCGACGAGTTCTCCCTTCTCGGCTGCGAGTCCCGAGTTCGCTGTCGGGGGGAGAAGAGAAGGGAGGGAAGACGGAGGAGGGGCGCAGGTGGAGCCCTTTGTTCTTATAGGATTCGGCCCACGTGCGGGCCCGGATCGATACACGGGCCACCGCGGGTCCGCGGACTTGGTTTCCCTTTCCTACGCGGTTTACCGGTTCGGTTATTCGATGAGATAACACAGGTGTGGTCGCGTGGACACGATCGACATCCCACTTTTTAACTAACAGTCTGTTTTTAACTAACAGTCTGTTCAGTACAACAAGTCTAAGCCATCTTCAAAAGTCTTTCTAAAGCTCACTTTCTAAATTATTAATTAAATGTCCTTTTATATAAAAATAGTTTTTATATCTTTTCATTCTCAAAGAGGTGCAGAGAACAGGAGTGTGAGGGCGGCAGCGGCGCAGAGGACAGGGGTGGGCGTGCGGTGACAATGCAGAGGACGGGTGGGGGCTGCGTCGGTGGCGCGCAGAGGATGTTGGCTTCCTCACGAACACCCTTGGGGGCCACCCGTTGCAACATCGGCGATGTATACTAATGAAACATACCTAGATTACTATTGAAACATGTACAATATCGTTGCTACAACATCGGTGATGTCCTACTAAAACATGCCCAGATTACCATTGAAGCATTTATAATATCATTGTTGCAAGATCCATAAACATAGTTGTTTGCACTAAAATTTGGGAAGAATAATGCGGGAATTCGAAGCTCCCAAAGATCGTGGAATCGATTGCATAAAAGTCGATATCAGCTGATTCAAATGCAGCACTGGAATCGGCTCTCTTCGGATGACACCAGCCGATAACGACAAAAAACTACGGTTGACGTCGGGAGAAACATGTCGGACTCTAAAAAAAGAAAAGATTAGGGACCAAGTTATCTTAAATCAGGAATGTTTTTTCTTATACCAAAGATTGTGATGAATCGTGTATAAGTAGGATTTATGCTTAGATTTCAGGTATAAATATTGGACCCCGGCTATTGTAAAAGGACATCCAATCAATCAAATACAATTTACGTTTTTTTGACTCCCTGCTAAACCTTAGGAGTACGAGTAGTGTAGATCTCGGCGAGTTCTTCAACAAGCAGGGCTGCATCGGTCCGGCCGACCTCCGACTTATCTGTAAGTACCGTCATGGCTTATACTTCTGTTTATATGGCTGCATCGGTTAAGTTCGACATCCACTGCGAACTCTAGTATAAGCTAGTTATCGACTCTTATCTAGTTCAAGTATGGATGCATCGATCCGGTCGACCTTCACTGCTCGAATTAGATTAAGGTCAAGTTATCGGCTCTACCTAAGGGTGGCGTCTTTCGGATAGATTCATTAAGTTATCGATCTTGCTGATGTTTTTATTGTTATTAGTTTGCAGCAACATCAATCTGTCCCGATCAAGATCGATTTAGATCGGCCTCATAGACTTTTAGTCCGTCATTTGCTTTGTTACAACACGATGTTTCTTACTTTAAGCGACGGGTTATGTTTCATCAGCTGTTTTTACTTCGACCTTGATCGTGCATAGTATGTGGTTGAGGCATGTATGATCTTGAAGAGGTTTGCTAGTTAGTTAAATCTGGTCTATAGTTCGCTATTATGGCTGTAACGATCCGGTCGATCCCCACTGATGACACTATAGATTAGAGGATGCTAGTTAGTAGATTTGTTCTTGATTAGGCGTGACATTAACTGTTTGCTATGCATGCATCGCCTAAACAGTCGATCGCCTATGCTTTAACGCCTATAATGTGTCTCCATGATTCTGTTAAATATGAATAGATCTGTTTACTTTAATGGTTTGATTTGTTGTCTTTATCACGGCTGCATCGATCCGGTCGAACCCCACTGTTAGAGATATCATGTTAGGTCTGATGAGTTCATAGGTTTGTCCACGTGAAATAGTCGATTGTTCACACGTTGTAGTCCCATTTCACCCGAATTGGCTATTTCAGTCGATCCGCTTTGAGCTTTCACATATATAGTGCGTCTTTCGGAAAGCCTATCGACGTATAGATGGTTTTATGGATTCTAAGGTTTTAGTTTGTTATTATCATCATAGCTGCCATCGATCCGATCGAACCTCACTGTTGATGGTAACAGATTAGATTCAGAGCGTTTGTTGATCCATTTGTACTAGAGCAGTCGATTTGTTTGCATGTTATATCCTTTTTCGATTAGATTAATCGGCTCAATGATTCACACTGGTAATATCCACCTAGCTGATGATTTCATTTACATCTACGGGCATTGTACTTATCAAAAGAAAATCAATCGTGATCCATAAGCTCTACTGTCCGTAACAGCCGATTTCTGTGCGTATCGGCTATTTAGTCGATTTTCTCATCTGGCTTTTCCTGAAGCGGCACACTTGGAACTATTTGGGTAAAGACCAACATGTTCTACCTTAAATTACTGATAAACTTTCTCTCCTTATCAATTACAGGTCAAATTGACTGGCACGTCTCGGGAGGAATTCGTAGGATCGGTTAACCCTGCGTTGAAGTCAAGCGGATCTCCGGGCTCATCCTAATCAGATCCTTCCGACACACGTTTTGGCACGCCTGGTGGGACCCCACAATCGTCATGGCGACTTACAACAACAATGACATTCTTGTGGTACCTTATGAAGACCTACCCAATGAAGATAAAAATGTCATCAGCAAAGCTATAGAAGAATTTCAGAACAAGTATTTGTTTTCCTACACCAATACACGTGACAATAAAGTTGTTCAAAAATATCCACTACCAAGAGTTCTGTTGCATGGGTAGACAGATGTAGATGAAGCTGAAGACAGGCGTTTCTTTGTAGAAGCTATAAATAAATCTGTTCATGATGCCATGTTGAACCATAATACAGTTTTCTGAACACATTCCACAACACCATGAAAGAGGTGTTTCATGGATTTCTAGTTGATCAGATCGGACCGGCTTATTACAACATTCCACATCCGTCGACTCTGTAGACTAATCTAGCCGGTACTAGTCATCAAGAAGCAGCACAAGCTGATAATGATGATGTCTAGGTAGTCTAGAGCTCATCTGAGCAGATTCAAGGTACCACCACCAATCAGATACAGTATAATCCTGGATCGTCAATGCAGCATGTGCAACATCCGATGGGGTAAGGTTAGGACCAGATGGTTAATTTTGGCACATCAGGCCAAATACCGTTGTCGGCTCAAAAAATATCGCCATCAGTTCAAAGGATTCGTAGAGATATAGATCCTAATATCTATAACCAGAGACTTCAAGCAGCAAACCAGCAAAGGACCTAGCAGATAGAGATTCTACAAGGGTATCATTATGGCACAGATTACAACACCCTTCATATGATTCTAAATCCAGGGTATCAAGATACCCAAAATTTTAATCCACAGATGGGTCAGCAATTACAGAGAAATTCAAATTCAAATGCTGATGAGTTGTTGCTTAAAGTGACCAAGATGATGAAGAATCAATTCGGTTTGAAGCCAAAAGGGCAGACCTTCTCATACAAACTCCCATATCCAGAGTGGTATGATTTGGTCGCTCTCCCACAAATTACAGGCTCCCGAGTTTGCCAAGTTCACTGGCCAAGATAGCACAAGCACGATAGAACATGTTAGTCGGTATCTTACACAGTTGGCGCAAAGCATCCATTGAAGAGGCTCATCGAGTTCGTTTCTTCTCCTTGTCTCTAACTGGGCCAGCCTTCACATGGTTTTCATCACTACCAGTTAACTCCATTGCCAATTGGGTTGACCTAGAGAAAAAGTTTTATACATATTTTTATAATGGGACAGGAGAAAAGAAATTTACCGATTTGATGACTATAAGGCAGAGAACTAATGAATCGAGCACCGAGTTTCTTCAGAGGTTTCGAGAGACCAGAAATTTGTGCTTCTTTCTGAATTTAACTGATGATCAGCTGGCTACTTTGGCTGTTTAAGGAATGTCACCAACATGGAGAGAGAAACTGCTGGGACAAGAGTTTGACAATTTAGGTCAGTTGGCTCAACGAGTGGCAGCACTCAATAGCCAATTTCAGAACATGCGCAGAGATACCTAATTCCAGAAGAATGCCACAATTGCCAAAACCTATAATCCATATTTGGTTGATGACGGCTATGAAGACGATGAAGAAGAAGAGGTTACCGTAGCTGAATGGAATTGGGGTAAGAAGATAGTAATGGTGCCAAATCCTTGGGGAAGAGGAGTCGAAGAGAGCTATGACTTTGACGTCACAAAATCGGACAAGCTCTTTGATTTCTTGCTTGAGAAGGGACAAATCAAGTTACCCGACAATCATGTTATGTTGCCTCCCGATCAGTTAAAGAATAAGAAGTTCTACAAATTTCACAACGTCACTTCTCATTCTACTAATGAGTGCCGAGTTTTTTGGCAACATATACAGAGGGCTATTCAGCAAGGAAAGCTCAAATTTGATACGCCTCGAAAGATGAAAGTTGATGATAATCCTTTCCCAAGAGATCAGAACATAGTTGATGCTAGGCTACTCAAAGGAAAGACTTGTTGATGTTTGACCACCGATAGCCTACCACGGGGGTCCTCGGGGCAGTATGTTCGGGCTTCAGCATATGCGGAACTTGACGGTGAACGCAAGAGATGGTCGATTTATCTTGGTTCGGGCCCTCGACCGTGATCGAGTAATAGCCCTACATCCAGTCGGTGTTAGCCTTGCGTTGGATTGATTGTGTGTTGTTGTCCAAAAGTCCTCCTTTCCGCTAGGAACCCTGCCCTCCTTTATACAGTCAGGAGGTCAGAGTCCTAGTCGGTTTATAATGAGAGTTCCTAGTAGGATTTACAGAATAATACTGTTACTAGGATTACATGAAAGGAAACCTAGTTAGACTAGATCTTCTCTCTTCCTTGCGGGGTATCTCGTG